AAATAAATATAATAAAATAAAAATTAAAATTTAATTTAAATTATAATTAAATTTAAATTAAAAAAAAAAATTGATGCAAAAATATTCATCTATAAAATTAAAAGAAAAATGCATAACACTATTTTAATACATTTATTATTATTATTATATTAATATTAAATTACTTATTATTAAAATAAATGAAAGAAATTAATAAATTTTGAAAACAATGAAGAAATCATTAAAAATTAATCGTTAAAAAGTAAAAAATAAAATTATATTACTATTTCATTAAATAAAATTTTTTTTTAATTTTATTTTGATATAATATACATATTTTTCTCAATAGATCGTATTTTTTTCAATTTTTATTATTATATTCATTAGTTTATGTTCGGTCGATTTGATTACCTACTGCGATAATCCAAAATCGTGAATTACAATCAGTGGATATTTTATCGTCAGAGATCAAATAGAAGTGACAATATTATCGATCTATTGCGTTATATTATATTAAGAGAAACTATTTTAAATACACACAAATTTTAAATAATTATAAAGATTAATAGGAATTAAATTTTATGAATAAAATATATTTTTTAACGCTATATATATTAAAAATTAGAAAAAATTTTATTTATTTTAGATTCTTCATTTGTACATTATTTAATACTAATATAAAAAAATAATTAGATTTCATTTGATTTTATTTCAATTGCGTTAAGCAATTTAGCTGTATTTATGATATCTCCTTCTATATCTTTTAAGTTTTTATCAACATCATTTACACCTTTCAATACATCTTGCAAAATCTGTAAAAAAAAGAAATTATCATGTCATATATTGAAATCAAATGATTAAAATAAAAAAATTATAAAATAAATGTAATTTTTATAAAATTAAATAACAATATTATTTCATATAATTATATAACATTATAAAAAGAGCTAATAAAATACAAAATAATAAATCTATTTAAAATGTACAAATTTTATTTTTATATGTAAATATAACCTCTAACCATTTTTATGTTTTGATAAAGTAACATAGTATTTTCTTCTTTATATTGTGAAGAAGATTCATAAAAAGATGCTGAAGATGTTGATTGATTATCCATTTTAATATATTATTTTATTTTTTTCAATTTTCTTAAATTTAATCAATATTGTCAAATTCTATTTAAGTATTATTTCAATTTAAATTCCCTAGTTAACTTTCGATAAATATCTGACATTTAACGTATTGTGTAAATGAACCTTAAATATTTGTTGCTTTATATTATAGCCAACTGTAATAAATATGTAAAATCTCTATGATAAAAAAAAATATACAAAGAAATTATTAATTGTATTTGATATTATAATTTATATATTATAAAAAGTTTTATATTAAATTTGTTTATATACAATATTTTATAAACAATACAATAATTTTGTGAAAATTATTTGTAAGATTTCTCATTTAATTTTTGTTAATCTATGATATTGATTTTATATAGTTTCAAATAAAGTTAAAAGAGTGCGCTGATAGTTGAATATATTTTATATTCACTTGTCTATCTAATATGATAAGTTTGACTTGTTATTATGCTTGTAATTATTAAAAAAAGACTACAATAGCTTTAAAATGATATTAAGTATAATATATTATAACACTTATTATATGTAGAAGTAATTTATTAACATGAAAATGTATGTATTAATATGACGTATAATGTACAAATAATATAAAATGACGATGTAAGTTAAAATTTGTACAATTTCTTATTATTTGATTTTTAATTCATAGTAAATGATATAATTAAGAAAAAATCTTAAATTTTATTGCTTAAAATATTATTTTAAATATATTTAAAAAATAAAATTAAAGATATATATATGATACTGTGTTTTATTTGAAATTTAAGAATATTTTTTTTAGATGTTGTTTTGATTGTCACTTATGTATAAAATGTTATTTTATATAAAAATGCTCAATAATAATCAAATTATTGAAATTATAACTTTTCTTAATATTGATATAAAGAACATATTTTAAAATATTTTTGAAATAATGAAATGATGGAAGCACAAACAGATATTTCTGTTTTGCGACCACCAGTTAATTTAAGAAATATAAATACTGGCAATGTTTTTTACACACCTTTAACTTCATTTGCTGGTATGTACATATTTATAAAAGTAATTTTTCATTATTTTAAATTTTATATAAATATTTAAATATTTCTTTTGATGTCTATAACTTTTGCAGAAATGTGGTATCAAATATTTTTATGGGCCCTATTTTCTTCTATTTTTGTTCATACTATAGCTGGTGCAATTTGTTTTGCTACATTAAGACAACATAAATATGGAAAGTACGTATATTTAAGTAAATTTATTAATAATGTATATAAATTTATAATACAATATTATATCAATGTTCATATATATTAAAAAAAAAAATTATGAATAATAATAATTATGAATGAATTTAAGAATAAATATATAAAATATTAAAATTTTTTCTATGTATGATATTTTTAGAATATAAAATAATATAAGTAAACTTTTATTTAAAGATTTTTCCCATTATTGATTATAATAATGGGTGTAATATTACCACTAACATCAGGAGTTCTTAGCTCTGCTGCTGTTGCTTTTGTATACAGAGCATCTCGATATCCACTGCCACCATTATATGCATTATTTTGGGGTATTGGTCAAACTGTTGTAGCAGGATGTGTTGGGTTTACAAGAATATTAGCAACTTTATAATATAAATTAAAATTTGTATATGAATGATGCACAAAATATTGTTATTTAGAAATGTTATATGTAATATATTATGAGAATTTTCAAAATTTGAAGAACAAATGAATAGCATTTTATTAGTATTAGCTCTTATATATAATTAGTATATATTAGCATTAGATAATAAAATTTGTATATATATATATATTATATATATATATTGTATAAATGTATGAAAATCAAGATTAAAATAATTATAAGATTTTCAAACTAAAAAATATTAAAAAATATTATTTGCTATTTATATATAAAAATGAATAATTTTATTAATTCCAATTATTCTTTTTTTAATTTTTTTAACAATTTATTGCAATTTATTGCAAATATCATAATTTGCAAAACAATATAAAATTGTTGAATATATTTTTATACAAATTAATAATATTTATATTTATATACAATTGTGTTTTTATTCACTGTTCTTGTAGTTTATCATTTTTTAAATGTTGTTTATAATTAATTGCAATATTTTTTATTTCCATCAATCCAACTTCTAAATCCTTCTGAATAGCAAGTTTTATTTCTTCATCTGAAGAAGTTAAATTTTTTAATACCATATCTGTAATATAAATATAAGTATTACACAAGTAAATATATACATTAATAATATTACACAAATTTATATAATATTTAAATTATTAAATATTTCATACCATGATATTTAAATAATATTTTCATTGTTGAAAGTTGTAATTGTGTTTGAAGAAATGAAAGTACTGTAGATACATGTCTTCCAGACATATGTAAAACACTTTGAGTTGCTGCAGTAAACAATATGCTTGTAACTAGATGTAATGCTAATGCAGGATCTTGAGTACCATTAAGTTCTTCTAATAAGGCTTCTCTATGGCCTAAAATAAATGGTCTTTCTTTCTTTTTATCATATTTTTTTAATACTAAACAACAAGTTGCCATTGCTGCATCTACAAAATTTAAAAAATCATCTATAGAATTTCCAGTGATAGATTTATGTATATTATTTAAAGGTTCTTTTACATCTTCTGGTAAGTCAAGTAATATTTTTTGTCTTATTTCAGTGGTAATATTCTGAGGAAATTGAAGCATATTTTGTTGCGCGGCTAATTTAAATAATTCGTTTATAAAATCAGTTACAAGAGATTTTAATAAATATTTTGTTAAAGCAGGTTGATCTGTTTTATCCATATGTTTAATACCTTTATCAAATATTTTAATATTTGTTATTAAAATATTTAAACGTTCCTCAATTTCACTTAAGTTAGTAGTTTTATTATTTTGTGCTAATTGATCTGCAATGGATATAGCATAGTTATTTATTTTTTGTTCTAAATATAATGCTAATTCATCTACTAAATCATCAATTATCGTTAAATTATCATCTTTAGCAATTTCATTTTTAATGTCGTCTAAATGAACTAATTTAAGTTCAATTTTTGTTGAAACAACTTTTATATTTTCATCGTCGGATTCATTGTCGCGAATTTTTCCTTGTAAGTATTTTTTTTTAGTAGATTTGGTTTTTGTCTCTCTTCCTTGATTACCACCACCTGCTTTACCAGTTGCAGCTTTTTTTCGACGTTCCTCTTTTTTGTTTCCTTTGCTTTCAAATATTAAATCTGCTGATTTAGATTTAATTTTATTTTCTGCTATTGTTTGAAACCATTGTCCACTAGCTACTGCTTCTCTAGCTTTTGCTTCTGCCATTGCTTCGAATGATTTATTTAAAGATTGTAGAAATACATCAGACATAACTACAGTTTTTGCAAATACATACGTATTGTTGTTTATTTTTTTCTCTGCGATTTTAAGAAGCATTTCCATATCTTTGTCAGAAAATACAGATGGTAAAAGAGGACTTATATCAACAAAAGATCCAGTTGCAATAGCTTCTTCAATATTTGAATCTATTTGATCTCTAATACCTGTACCCACAGCAACAGAATCTAAGAAAATTATATTTTCATTTGGAAAATGACGTTTAATAAAATTTGGTGGATCTGATATTCCAAGACGAATAAGAGCATCATATTCTAAAAGATCATATTTACATTTTAAATATGTTATTATTATATCATTATTTTTATATTATAAAATGTAGCACAGACCTAAATAACCATTTTGTTTGTAAAAATTATCTACCCATTCATTTTGACTCTTTGAATATATAGTTGGTATATAAAGACTATTTGTTCCTTGTTTTCCTGCTACAATACCAGGAATTTGTTTCATTTCTTGTAAGCTATCTAAAATTGCTATAAATATAAATATAATGGTTAAAATATAAATATATTATTATGTATTGGTATATTTTATGAATATATGGAATTTATATTATACTCACAAAAAAATATTCTTTCAGAAACAGAACATTGTCCTAAAATTGCTGATAATGGTGTAGGCTTTGTAATTGCAGATAAGGCACCTCTTATTTTTGCTCTATTTCTTGCTATAAAACTTTCTGTATAAAAAACTCTTGTGTCTTGAGTGTCTTGTTTGCCATATATAGTTTTTCCTAATTCTTTTTCAATTATTGATTGTAAGAAGTCAGCTGGTAAATCATAATGAATTGTTAACTCTGACACATTAATAAATCCATGTTGGATTAATTTGTCATTGATTTCCTCAGCAATTTTATTTGTATAAGTTTTATCAATAAGTTGTCCAAGTATTATTTTTAGTCCTTTATTATGTCTTTCTAAATCATTTGCTACTTTAGATATTTGAGACAAATTAACATTAAGAATTTGAGATAAATCAACTAAATTGATTCTTCCACCATGAATATACAATTCATCTTTAATTTCCTTGCCAAGATATTGAGGTGTGACATATTCTTTACCATCATTAGTAAATATTACATCTAACAATTTATTCTCAATTAACTTTGTTACAATTTCTACACAATTGCGTTCTGATAACCTATGTTAAATAAGAAAAAATATTATAAAAAAAATATGGGGCAAAATTTATGATAAAATATGCTAAATTAAATTATCATTTTTGAAAAAATTTATTGCAAATATAAATTTTTTCAGAACTATATCAAATAGTTTTTTTAATATGAACTAAATTTATTTTATCTATAAAAGAAAATGTAATTTCATTCTACAGCTGTTTAAAATTAATTTATTATAAATTTTATTATAATAATGTAGAATTATTAAAAAAAGAGAAATATGTTTTATGAAAATAAATTATACTTTTGTAGTGTAGAACTTAATTGTGCTTTTTGAAAATCAGCTGCTAATCTTTTAATTTCATCCCAGTCAACAGAAGTCATTTTAAATCCTTAAAATTGAGCTGCCAGATTGTACAATTAAACACTTGACATTTTTCATCATTGATTATAAAATTGATAGAAGATAGGTAAATCAATTTGACATTTTATTGTGACATCTAGCGTTGAGAATGGAGAATTACAGAATAAATTAAATAGTTTCAAACGCCAATAATCTTTTAAAAAGTTAAAAATTTTATTTTAATATGAATAAAAAAGAAATATGTTTTGAAAGTAAAATAGTTATAACAGTGTTTTCTAAATATCAAATATAAATATAAATTAAAGAAAAGTATAAATATGTATTCAAATAAAAATTCTTTCATATTTTCTATAATGTAAATCATTTATGAAATAAATCAAATTTATTAAATCATTTATAAATAATAAATTTAAATATAATTTTAATAAAATCTTTTGTATCTAGACAATATTAGGGATTTTTAGTAGGAAGTGTTTTTAGAATAATTTTATAATAGGTTTTGTTTATGCACGTGTATTTAAATATATTATTACTACTATATTACATTCCAAATTAGTTAAGCTAAATAATAAAATGTAATTTTTTATAATAAAAAATTTTTTTCGAAAATTATTTTCTTAAAAACCATACTGTGACAATATTACAAAATATAAGGTTAGACAGTGCATGTCTTTTATCGATTAGATTTTTTAGTCGTATTTAATGTATTACTTTGTTCAAAAACATTATGTGATTAATAATTTGCAATCAATGAAATTAATAAGTTCTTATTACAAAGTTTTTGAAAGTGTATTATTGCTGAATGAATTGTTTATATAATCGCTCAAAATTTTATTTATTATTAATTTGTTACAAAATATCATGGTGAGATAAAATATATTCAATTGTATTTAGATACATATGATTGAATATTGTGGCCTCAATAAAAGTGCTTTTTATTAATTATTATATATGAAGTGAATCAGTTCTAATTTTTTTAATTTTCATTTCATATGCAGCTTTTGTGATGTTATATTTTATAATATTTAGTTTTTATACTTTATATATTATATTTTTATATAATATATTTTTTATATTTTTAATATAAAAAATATATTAATAAAAGTAACTTATTTTGTTAAAAAAACAACTAGTGAATTTTAATTTAAAATCACAAAATGTTAATCTCATTATTGATATTATATATTTATTATTTATTCATTTTTAGTTTATCATTTTAAATAATGAAAAAATATTAAGTCTATTTGACAATAATTTATCATCATATGTAATAAAGAAAAATAGTTCAAACATAAAATTATATTATTGAATAAATTACATTAATTTTTTAAAAAGTTAAAGTATTTAAGATTTTTATTAACAATTATGTTACTGCAATATTTTTATAATTATGTGACAAAATTTATTGTATATATATATACATGATTTTAATATTACATATGTTTAAATTAATATTTGTATGAATATTGTATATATTTATTGATATATGTATGAATGTATAAATAAAATTAATTAACGTTAAATTATACTTTATAATTATTATTTTATACTTATATATCTATATACATATATATGTATATAAATTTATATAGAAATAATATATTTTTAATAAATTTTATATAATTATAAGATTAATATTGAAGTTATATTAAAATTTATAAAATTTATAATATTATTGTGTTATCATATTTAAAATCACATATAAGATTTTTATTATAATTATAATATAATAATAAAAAAGTATATATAAATAATTATAAATTTCATATTTAAGCACATTTTTATTTATATAGATTTATAATTTTTTAATATTTAGTAAAATTATATTATAAATTAAATTTGTTTTATTAATAATTTTATTTATGAATTCATTGTGCACTTATTATTTTTTAATTTACTTATTTATTGAGGCCACTCAAATCTCTTTTTATTATTTGCAAGAATTTATATAAATATAGTAATATTGCATTTTGTTCTTAGTAGTATTATTTCAAATATTGCATTTACAATAAATTTTGTATTATAATTAAGCCATAATAAAATTAAGTCTCCAAGTTGTTGAAAATGAGATGAAAAAAAATAAATCAGGTATATAATAATATATAATATATTACATGTATTAAATTAATATTTTTTAAAATATATTTTGCATTTTCAGAACAAAACAGCAATATAAGAAATTTTGATAAATATTAAATTAAACTATTTTATAGTTTAAATTATAATATGAAAATATGTTATATTTTTCAGTTTTGAATAGATAGTACAATTTTTATGATATTTAAAAAAAAGTACATAATTAAATTTAATATATAATAATGAAACATAAATTACTTAACAATAACAATTCAAAATAAAACATAATAAAATTTATTTAAACGTTTTTATTTAAACAATAAAACGAATTTCGTTTTCATAAAACGAAAAAAACAAATTTTTAAATTTCTTAATAATAAATATTATAAATTTAAGTATGAAGTAAAATATAGGTTATCATATGTAGTATATCACATTTATTTTTTTTATTATATAAACTTCACTTTATTACATGTAAAAATTTTATGTATCATATATTGTATCACAATGTTTTTTTATTTAGAACTTAAAAATATCAATTATTGGAATAAATTTTTAATGAGTGTATTTTTAATTAGCTTATAAATTTTGCTTATCGCATATTTATGTTTGCTTTATGCTTTTTGCATTTTAAAATAATCAAATTATAATGAAAATAAAATGAAAAAAACAATATAATTTTACTTTCATTTAAATAATTATTGAATTTTTTCAATTTTTTTTTACTTTTATTATAATTCGATAGATCAATCGAGATATTTATATCAAGACAAACCAAAAAAATATTTATAGAATAATAAAAATATATAAATGATATTTTTTTTTATAAATTATTATTATAATTACTAATACTAGTATTATATAATAAAATTAAAACTTATAATATATGCAAAAAAATAAATTATTTAGAATCAATACAAAATCGATATTCTAATGCAATACCGAAATATTTTTGAGCTATAGTTTTAAATATATGTATATTCTTATTATTTGAAAAAGTTTTTTATTTTGAAATACTTTATAAAAATGATTTACATTTGATTAAAACTAAAAAGAATGAAAAATTAAAGAATAGCAAAAGAATAAGAATAGTAAATCTATTTGATATATAGAGGAAACATGTTCTTAAAGCAAATATGAAAAAAAAATTGTATATTTCATTATTAACTGTTAACTTATTAACTAATAATTTAGTTAATTATAATTTTAATATATTGTAATTGTATTTATAACATTTATTATTAAATTATAAGAGTCGAAAACAGTTATGATATCAATTTTAGTTGAAACAATTTTAAAGTATCGAAATAAAGTATCGAAAAAAATCTTAAAAAGTATGAAAAAGTAGTATAAAAGTAAAAAAAAGTAGTATGAAAAAAAGTTTCTGATTTATATATAAATTTATTTTCGCTTTTATAGAATTAATATTATATCGGATTTATAACGGTTTCATAACGGTTATGCATTGGTTATGTCATTTCAATTTCATCGTTTTAAAATTTGCAATTAATTGTAATGTAAAAAAACATAAATTAAAAAACTTCTTCAGAGTAAATATATTAATTATATGATTAAATTATAATAAAATTGTAATAAATGATAGGCAGCGATTACGTTCACATTTAATAAATGAAATAATAAATGATTGAATATTATTAATTTATTAATTCTTGTATAAAATCAATATCTTTTTTTTCATAATTGTTTCAAGATTCGATTCTTTAAATTTGTTTTAATCTATTAGAAAAATTAATTATTAATCTCTAAATAAAAAGTAAATATTTTATTATCTTCAACTTTTTTATACTTTTAAAAATATATATTTTTTTTAAAAAATAAAAAAAATTGAGGTTATTATAGTCTGCATTAATAGAAATTTTATTTTGATAAAATTATATCAATTATTAACGACTTATCATTTGATTTTTGAAAAACTAACTGCAATGTTGATGAAATTCTAAGCAATTATAAACATATTTTTTTTATTTTCTTCTATAACTTGTTAATATTCAATATTCAATGTTTTAATTTTTTAATTTTTTTTTTTCCTTATTCTCAATAAGTACAAAATTTTTTCTAACCAATATATCAAATCAAGCTAATTATATCTCTAAACTAATTCTTAATAAATCCAAGATCTTTTATATTGAATTATTATCTATTTGAAATTGCTAACATTTAAAATATATCATTTCTATATTTTCTTTAATGAACAGAATTTTTTTTATATATTTTTGAAATTCAATTTACTATCACTCAAACAATTAGTATTCCTTCATACCTGTGTGCTGTCGTATAATGATTCTCAATTTGCAAAAAAAAATTGATTCACTTGATTTAAGATGAAATATCAAATTGAATTAGAGAACAAGAATAATTCAATAATACATCGTATAATATTGAAACCACATGTCAACTCTGCACATAGCTCAGAGACACTTTTTTCCTCTTCGTCCATCGCTTTCGCGTTCGCTCGCTTACTAGCGCTTTAATCTTCTCTTCTTACGGAACTTTCGACCTCTCGTTCGATCGTCGAATAACGCTAGTCACTTCAGTTTATGCCCGACTCTGTCGTCGGTTGGATCGGTGGAGGGATCGCAGAAAGAGATAGTGTGGTTGTTGGTCAAAGACGCGACGAGACGCGCGGACACGCGTTATCTTCGCTGCAAGCACGCCGAGCAATCGAATCTGGTAAGCCCAATAGACGCTACTTTCGAATTCCCTCCATTTCTACCTGCTGCACGTGCTTTTCTTTCCTTTCGATTGTTTCTTCTGTTCTTTTCTCAATTCAGTATTAGTTAACCTTTTCTATTCTCGTTCGTTCGTTTGTATTACTTTCTAATCGTGCCATATTTTAATTTACACAGAATAAAAGAATTTTTCAATTGTGAATTCGACAGAACAGAAAATGTTTTTCGAAGACTTTCATCGTGTCGAATCGATCGGTAATTTTGTTGCATGCGACATTTGAACGATAGTGTTGACAGAGATTAAAAATGGACAGATTAAGAGGATTAGATTAAAATAGGAACAGTGTAAATCTAAAAAACAATCGGCGCCATATTTCGTGTTGTGATTAGATTCAGGAAATAATTGGTTTTTTCTTTTCTTTTTTGTATTTTTCTTTTGATTTCTTACATGTTCTTTTTCGTTTATCAGGAATGTTATGCATACGTTATACTGATAATATTATGTTAACAGAGTAACTTTCGTAAAGTATTACTGCCAATCGTAATTTTATGGTAATGATAATTTTGCTATGATAATTTTGTTATTTCGATCATTTCGATATTGTGAACAATAACTCTTTTATGATTTTTTAAATTGATAAATGAAGGTTAGGAACTGCTTTTTTTTAGAAATTATTTTATTAATATAATTTTTTATTGTGTGATCGTAAATTAGTGATTTAGAAAAATTAATAGATAAATATACTATTATTTATTTAATTATTTAAAAAAAATATTTTGTAATTATATCAAATTTTGTGTAATAATTTAAATATTTTATGATGTGATTTTAATTAATTGATATTTATTATATGTTAAAGTAATTATTTATGATTCGATATTCATAACGCCTTCGCTTACAAAAATTTTTTTGGTCACTTAAATAGAACTCATCAGCTGATTCTTGGACAAATTACTCAATTTTTCTCAATTAGTTAAATTAAGTTAGTTAAGTGTAAGTACTATAAAGAATAATTAATTTTCATTTTTTAAAAATTAACTTTATTTATTTTATTTAATTTTAAAAGATTAATTTTATAAACTTATTTTTATATATTAGAATTTATAATAATTTGTTTTAATAGATTTTAATATAAAAACTCTAAAATTCTAATATTATAATTTAAAAAGATGTATAAGTTTTAATTACTATTTTTTATGGGATTTTATTTTATTTTATTTTACTTTTTTTAATAAGAAACTATTGTTTTTTTATTATTTTTTTAAATTATGATTTAATTTTTAATTTTTCGACAAATTATGAAAAATATGATAAATTGCTATTTATATTTTGTGTCGAATTGACAAATTATTTTTTTTTCTATAAAGATATATTTTTTTTATCAATTATTGTCTAGTCTACAATTTGTGAGAAGGTTAATCGGTGATTAATCGATATAGAAATCGAAGTGTTATACATTTCACATACTTGATTTATTCAATTCGAATACAGATTTATGTCAAGGTTAAAAGAAGCAGATTTTATGATTTTCAATTAATATTCATACATATATATTATTGTTAAAATAAATGCAAATTTCGGAAATAGTATTTTATTACATTTTTATCAATGATATATAATTTTTAATTTTATTATTTTTATTTTAATGATATTTTCCGTAAAAATGAAGAATTTTTAAATTTTTTATTTTTAAAGCGATATTTTAATCATATATTCAATTATATATTATTTTTTCACAATATATATAATCCATATTTACTTATTCATAATTATTTTTGCTTTCTAATAACAACGAACCTTCTTCTGTCGAACAATACAGTGAGAAAAAACAATTTGACATTTATTTTATAAAAAAAGTTTTCTGTCCACACTGCTCTAAAATTTACGCGAAAGTTTCTTAATTACAGATTTATTTTCCAAGTTTCAGTCAACGCAAGAGTAATCTTCTTGAATCTACTAATTTCGAGTAACAAAGTGCACTGACAGCATAAACGTGAAACGTAGTTCAGATCATATTATGCCGCGTCGGAAATTTGTAATTATGATTTATACGTAAGAAACTCGGTGGTATCTATTTTGAAGAACTTGGCAGAAGGTTCCTCTCGCTTCTTTATAAACGATCACTACTTTTCCCTTGTGAGCAATAACCCCATTGTATTATCGTTGATTCGTGGCTTCTCTTTAACTAGATTCGACCGTTTAATTTTAATTGGTTCGTGTTATTTGACTCTTCTTTTTTCCTTTGTTATCACAAGTGATTTTAATCTTTTGTTAGTTTAAATTCGATGACTAATTAACGTTTGAAGAATAGTATAATTAGAGAATTAACTAAATTTTATTCGCTAATTGAATTATTATTTTAGATGTGAAATATCAATTATTTAGATGCAAAATGTTAATTTTATATTGTAATATTAATGAAATGAAAAAGGATAAGTTTAAGTGTCAATTGAAGAGTCTTTGAAAGAATAATTTAAATTTGTGAAACTTTTTTGTTAAATCAATGTAACATTTTTTTATTCTTATTTTTTATTTAATTTTTTATTTATAACTTTTTTGTTTATAACTTTTCGTTATATTAGCGTTTAAATAATTCAAAATTATAAACAATAGTAACGAAATGTAATAAAAAATTAAGATAAAATGTGAAATAAATTCTCGTAGAAAATTGATCGTACTTTAAATGTATTTTCATATCGTCTTAAATACGAATATAAAAATGCTCGCCTTCTACGCTGTACTCGTTACTTTTGATCATTATAAATTAGAATACAAATACCAAGCAACTCCCGACCATTTAATGTTCTTAGAAAGTGCTTTGACACTTCGTTACTATAGTTGCATGTGTCTTGCTTTTCTCTGTTCTATCTTATTCGAAAATTTGCAAAGTTTTCAACATAGTTTTTATTTCATTATCATTATCATCATGGATTATTTTGTAGTGTGAAATATTATATATATATAAGAATGCATAATATATATAAGAATATATATAAGAATGCATAAGATTGCACATTAAGATAAATTACCTTATATGGATTGGTATAGATTATTTTCAACGTCATAGTTTTTATTTCATTATCATTATCATCATGGGTTATTTTGTATTATGAAATATTATATATATATATAAGAATGCATAATATATATATAAGTATATATAAGAATACATAAGATTGCACATTAAGATAAATTGCCTTATATGGATTGGTATTGATTGCGTTTTATTAATCTTTGGCGTAACGCGATATGAAAACGAAATCACGATTTTTTATTTTAATAGGTATATTTTCTTTAACTTTTTTTCCTTCTTTCTTTTGAAAAATTTTTTCTTCTACAATTATTATTTCATATTTTTTTTATCTGAATTTTTTTTTTTTCTTCTTGAGTTTTTCATCTGTATATTAAATATTGATTAGATTATGTTAAATTAAATTAGGTTTGAGATATTGTTCTTATTTACTTATACTACACAATATAAGTTTATATCTATTTATGTTAATATATATTCAATAAAAAATATTCAGAAAATAAAAATTATTTTTTTTTATCTTACAAATTATTTATTTAGAAATTCGATTGTCTGTCAATGTATATATACATTGCATATGTATCAGAATAAGCCTTGTTTGTTTAGCTTTCTCTATAAATTAAAAATCAGAAAACGCAGGAAAAATAATTTTTTTTTTATATTCGAAATATTAAATTAAATGGCATGTATATTTAATAACAATAAATTATTATGAATATATAAAATAAAATATTCAATATTATTATCAATTATATAATATTCAATATATTCTTATTATTAGTGATATGATTAAATTAATCATATCTGATTTTGATATTATTTATATAGATGAAATCTTATATTATATTGAAAGTTAAAAAATTTTTCATATATCGTTATATCTTATTCGAAAATAAAAGAATTTCAATTTTTCCTTATCAAAATTTGGCCTTATCAAAATTTTATGTAGATATATAAATATATTATGGAGAAAAAATTAATTATAAATATTTTTTTGATTTCAATAAAATAATATTTTAATTATGCTATTAATATTTGATTTATTTTTGTCATTAAAAAGCGTAGCTATCTTTTTCTACTATAATCTTTTTTTTTTAGATATAATAAATAAAAAAATTAATACGACGATAAATTGAAACATAGAAACATAGAAAGTGTAAATAATGATGAAATAAAATTGCGTAATACCATTTTTTATTCTATTTCAGGACATTCTTTCAATAAATATAAAAAAGAAATGTTTCAAAATAGTAAAAAATGTTACATGATATTTAATCCAAAGCTAGTTACGCCATTGGTTTTGATATATTGAGTTATCATCGTGTTAGAAACATGTGTACATATGTACTTATGTACAAGCTTGATGCACATTTATCAGCACGTGATAAGACATACGAATTGTTTAATATGATCGTGGTGTGCACTATTTTACGATACAATGCTTTTCTCTTCTGTTTCGCTTTCTGTATTTTTCTTTTTATTCGTTTCTGAAAATTGAAAATACTGTAAATATATATGTTAATATATTATAATATATTAATATTGGAAAAATTTTGTTTGAATAATTTTTGAAAGAATCTTTATTGGAAATTAAAATCGATAACCAGAAAATATGTTATAATTATATGTGTTAATTATATATATATATTTGTAGAATTTATTATCTTTAAAACTTTATTTAATTAATATAAAATTATTTTGTCTTTGATTAATTTTGAATTGATTAATTATTATATATTTTTTTAATAATTACAGGAAAGATTAAAATTATTATTTTTTCTTTTGAAATATTAAATTATATAATAGGTGAAGAAAAATAAAAAAAAAAGTATTTAATTCCACGATCGCATTATTTATTATATTATTGTAAAATTTTTTATTTTTTTCGCTAGTTACTAAAATATTTTTTCAAAATTTCTTGATTCTCTGATATTAAATATTTTTTCTAATAAAAGTTTTATTAAAATTTATTAAATGACCAATTTCTTTTAAATAGATTTCTTTTTCTCTCGTGCTTGCATGAAGTGCTATGCATAAATAAATTTTGTCTTAGAATAAATTTATGAAATATTTTATTAATTTTTAATTAAATTTTACAATATTATTTCCTTATAGTTTATTTTTCAAAAAATTCTCAAATAAATCGGCATTGTTGTTTGATTAATTGATAAAACTTTATTAGTCATAAGAATTGAGAATGTTTGTATCCTAAGGTTAATAGATTTTTAAGATTATTACATTTTTTTGAACTTAAAGTCGATTTATCTGTCTTGTTTTGTTTAATTTAAGTCAATTTATTTATTATCAAAATGCATGCAAAAAAATATAGAATTATTATTCTATATTTTATCAAAAGGAACGCAATTATTCCATTCATAATATCTTTAGACTTTGTTTTCTTGAATCAAGTAAAATATTACATTCTCTGTTAAATATTTAATATTTCAATATTATTTATCCTTATCACTCTGTTTTCTAAAATTAAATTAAAAAAAATTTAACTTAATTGCAAATTTTACAAATTTATTTCAATAAATGTTAGAATTATATTTATTTTTAAATTGAGAAAGCAAAATTTCTTTATGTTTATTTGAACAAATATTACGAGTAATTTTAATGAAATTTTGTAGTTATGAGACACCTAAATTATTGCGAGAATGTTTAAGATTAAATATCACGTTTCGCATGTGTCGGCACATGCTTTTGACATGGTTCCACGTAGTGAGAACGATAATTTAACGACAACAAGAGTACTTTTGTAATGAATTATAGAATTGTCAAGATGCGCACAGGTTTCTGTAAAACGTAATATTTTATAATCACACCATTTATATTTAAATTGATTTATCATTATTTTAAAAGAAAAATATTTTCTATGTGTTTTCTTATATAACTTACATTTTTATGAATGAAACTTATATTAATTCTTTTGAAAAAAAGATTTTTTAACATTTATATATCAAAGATTAAACGAAGATATTACAAATTAAACTTTAAGAATATTTTCCGTTTCTTAAGAATAATAATGTACTTAGTAATCCAAGTATTTTTAAAGATGGTTTAATGCTTATCCACTATTTATTAATATTTATTATTAATCTTCTAATTTTTATGATGATTTGAAATAATAATAAACAATTTTCAAAATTGAATTTAAATTTTTTAAACAAACTATTCATCATATGACATCACATTTTCTATGACTGTTATCTATATATATCTAATCAAATCATAAAATTGTACGTGTTATATGTATATATACAACTTCATAATTGAATAACAAGAATCCTTTTTGTTATTCAACTTTCAATTCATCCAAGTTTTCGTCCTCTCTTATATTTCTAATTTATCATCAAATTATTTTTTAACACTTAACGCTAAATAATTAACTATTAGTTAATTCAATACTATTCATTAAATACAATTACAATTACTTATATATTTTTTTACTAATTTATTTTTTCTATACATATAATTTTTCTTTTCAGATCATCATTGCATATCGAGGCGAAAATCGTTAAAAAATCTAAACAATGACAATCGCGGAGACCACAGAATTGAAGATGAATTCTACGAGGGTTTCCAATACCATTGACGGGATCCTCAATCCCTTGAACAACAGGGATCCGCAACAACTGGAACAGATCTCCAATTCTAGCCCGGAGGCAAACCCTCTACTGGAGTCCAATCGAGCTGATCATTCATCGATGAAAATTGACACTTCTACCATGAAATCGAAGAAAATGGACAAGGAGGAGGATGATTGGGCATCGATGAACACCTCAAGAAGAGATCCGGAAGTGAATGATTGTAACGCGATTGTTCCGCCTGATGGCGGTCTCAGAGCTTGGATGATTATGATAGGCAGTTTCATTATTAATGGTGTTCTATTCAGCGTCATAAACACGTATTCGTTGATCTATCTAGAATTGCAGAAGAGATTGTCAGAGTCTGGAGAAACGGGGGCGTCTTCGAAGGCGGGTAAGTGTTTTATATTCTTTTGTGTTCTTTGCTATTAAGAATTCGAAAGGATTATAAGGATACGATGTATCCGTAAGAAAGAATATAATTGTCTGTGTTCGAAAAAGAGATAAATATATAAATATATGAAATAATTTTTAATTCCTTCAATTATTTATAAAATGAATTATTTTTTTTTTATTTCATATACGACAAAATAAGAGAAAAGTAAAATTATAAAATTTGTGAGAGGATATTTTTATTTTAATTACTTCAATCTTTATTCTAAATGCAATTAACTAATCGCTGTTAATAAACCGTATTATCTCACCATTTTTATTATATATCTATTCTTTATATTGATAATATATATTTATGTTTTGTGGATCGTTGAACTGTCTGGGTTTCATTCATCTAATTCTTTTTTCCATATTTCAAAAAATTATCAAGAATTTGATAATATAATTTTCAAATTATATACATATATTAAGTAAAAGTTATCCGTTATTTACCATTGCGTTATTACTAATCACTATTTACTATTTAATATATATTACTATATCTTAGCATTTTATTAAATATCTGCTATTTGTTAATTGATAATTAACGATTTAAATTCGTATTGCATGTAAACACGCTTTGTAAGTAAAAAATAAAAATGAAAATCGATTCGTGAATTAACAAATAGGTCAATTAAACAATTATATTCAGATCATTTGTGCAAATCAATGAACATTCTAATAAGAATGCGAACAATAAGTACTGAATTGAAATAATCGTTAATATTTGTGTCCATGGCCTAAATATCGACATTGTGAAATTATATTCTATATATTGACGTCTTCTAAGATCTAATTGTTGTTAAGTGAAGTACAGAATAATTACTTCTATCAACTAGCGTATCAATTAAACCGATCGATCAGGCTAATCATTGCAAAGTCAATGCCCTGAACAACCTGGATTTGAATTAATCGACAATTACAATGAACATTAATAATAACGAGGGTCAAATAATATTAATCTAAGGGTAGTTACTCTTTAAAGTAGAACTAGGTCTTTACTACTAACAATATATAGTTTAGTTTAATCTATATGATCTAAAATAAGAGATGAATAATTTTTATTTTGATTTAATTGAAGAATAATTTTTCATTTCTTTAAGATTTAATTTTTACATTTCAAAGTTTACATACATATAATTATTCGAAATAAAATATTTATTATATTATTCAGAGAATATATTTTAGAATCCATTTATCGATGTATTAAAATATGAATTTGTATAAATATTTGCAGTTTAGTTATAAATCATATCTCTTCTAAGTAAGTCAAAGTTAAAATTATCTTTTTAATTTTTGGATCATTAGAAATATAATTTCTTAAATGAAAATAAAGAATTAATCATTTCATTATTTGAGATTAAAATTGTATGAATGAATACGTATTGAATATTTTCTATTTTTTTCTGTTTTATTTTTTTTTTTATTTTAAAAAATATTAACAGGCTATTACATTGTTTCAGAAAAAGATTAAAATTTTTTTATATTGATTATTATTAATAAATTATTATTATATTAGTTATTAAAATTAAACAATTTAGAATATAATATTGTTTAATGAAAATTTTTTAACTTATCTCATCAATATCACAAATATTATGAATAATTTCAATGAAATTTTATTATAAGAAATCTAAATTATTGCGAGAATGTTTAAAATTAAATATCACATTTCGCATGTGTCGGCACATATTAAAATAATATATAAAATATAAACAATGCAAAATGTTATAAAAAAAAAAAACAGATTTAATATATTTGATTATAAAGTAACATACACACACACACACATACACACACACATATATTTGAATATTTTTAATTGATAATATTAATTTATTCTTAATATTTAAAATAATAAAAATTTCTTCGATTTGTCCTATCAGAAATATATTCTGTTGTATTAAATAAAAGTTAGAATAGAAGTTTATGAAGTTATTGAAGTTTAAAATTACTAACCAATATCAAGATCAAAGTAAACGTTCACTCATATAATATCCATAATCTAATAGAACTTCTGTTATCAGAATTTCTATTACTCGAATATTCTACTATCGAAAAAAAATTCTATTATATCTGAATATTCTATTATACAACGCTTTTTTTGGTTTTGTATTCTATTTTCTTTTGATGTCATTCTTTACAAATGGAATCTGGTATATTACATAAAAAACGTTGCTTCAAATGTGAATCAATTTGAAAGAAAAAAAATATATCTATAAAATTTAGATTGTATTATTTTTTAAAAAATATTTTGTTATTTATTTTTAATTAATTGAATAATTTTTTATTATGTTTTTTTAATCTGAGTTTTCCTAAAATAAATAGAAAATATAAAATAAAATTTGTCCATTTAAAATTTTATTTTCAAGAAATGTTAAATACAGATGAATTTGATTTTGGATAATTCTTGATTGGATACAAGTGAATTTGACAGGAGTGAATGGAAGTGACAAAAAGTCATTTTTTACGAAAATAAATAAAAAATATGGAATACAATTTTTTTTAAATAAAAAACTTGTTTTCGAGATAATCCAATTTGAAAATTTAACGAATATGTTCGTTCATATTTAATTTGAGATTGAACATATTTGAATATATTAAATTTTTAAAAAAAGAGAATTGAAATAAAATTTAACTTTTAATTAATTGTTTTATATAAAACAATCTTTTAACAATTGTTCAATTATTAAAAAATTAATAAAATATATAATTCAGAAATTGATTTTCAAAATTGATTTATTCGAAAACGAAGTTTCAAATCTCATTTATAATATAAATTTCTTTGCACTTTTCTCTTATTTTTTGTTGTACATCAATTTTGAAATGTCTTCTACGTAAAGAATTATATTTTCTATTAAAATCATTCTTATTTAGGATAATAGTAGTTTCATTGAATTTTAGAACATTTTTATACGTATCAAAAATTGTTAGAAATTGTCAAAAATGATCATGCCTTTGTTTCAGCATTGGTAGGATCGTTAACTATCGGTACAACGTTCTTTTTATCGCCAATTTCTGGCATTCTCACCGATAAAATTGGGATTCAGATGACTACATTTCTGGGTGGTGCTCTTGCATCCAGTGGTATGCTTCTATCCTCGATATTTTCTAGCAAGGTAAATTATTTTTTTTTTTTTTTTATGAAACCTTATTAAGTTTTTCTTCTTTCCAATTTTATTTTTTTTTTATTTTTATTTTTTATTTATTTAATATTAGTATTCAATTAATCTTATGTTTCACTATTTTAATTAATACAGCGTACAATTTTAATCCGATAAATATCTTAAATTAATTGCAATGTGAACTTTACAATTTTTATCACAAATTATATTCGCTCATTGATTTTATTATACTTATAAAATCATCTATATGTGTGATGTAAACGATATATGCTAGATTCATCGTTCCATTTTCATAAGAAATTTATTTCGAAATTAATTAATATTATATATATA